TTTCTCTTTCTGGCTTATCTCACTAAGCATGATCTTTTCCAGCTCCATCCAAGAAAAACAACTCACCTTTAAAAAATGTGTTGGAATATCTGGAGCCTAATTGGTTAAATATATTAGTACTTAATATATTTACCTGTTTTCACTTTCTAGCTGTGGCTTTTAGAAAATATTACCAGGCAGTTGCATTTTTCTAATTTTTTGGACAGGGCTGCTCTAACCCTCCCACTGAGTCTAGGCCTCACTGTGAGAGAAGGCCCACGGGTTGGTTTGGGCTTGGTCTGCCTCATTTAGGGGTAGGGATCCTTCCTGGCACCAACTTTCATGGTGCCAGGGGGCTTTTGTGTGAGTGAGCTGCTTGCTGGTATTGGGAGCAGAGGCTGGGGCACTTGGCTTGGTTGCTGTTCTGCATGCTGAGTTATGTAACCTGTGCTGCCCAGGAGGGCCACTAGATGTTGCTCTCTGATCCCTGAAAGAACAAAGCATGACTTTCACAGAAGCCAGGGCTCAGCCTGCTGTTACTGGGAACCCTTTCTGGGAGCTAGCTAGGCTGGGGCCTTGGCTCCCTGTCTTGAGTTGCGTGGGAAGGGAGGTAGGCAGAGGATGGGGACTTGACTGTGATAGTTTTGGTACCCCATGTATCGGCAGCTGCACAGATAACTAGTAGGTTGGCCCTTCCTGCAACTGAGAGGCCATAGGATAAATAGGCTTATTGATAGGGGTGGGATTTGGAGATCTTCCCTGCAGCTCTCTGCTGAAGACGAAAGAAAACAGCTCTGCATCGGTCAGCTGGATGTGCCTTCTGTGTCCCTGATTCTGTCATTTCTGGCAGATTCTTACCCTTTGTTCCTTGCTTTCCAGTTGGAATGATGATGGGAAGTGTGAGGGTGGTGGTGGGTTAGGGGAGTAGAGGAGCTATGTGTGGTGTCTTGAAACAGGCAGGGATGGTATGGCATGGGTTGCGAGGGTTTCTAGAAGGACACCCCCTGTCGGCCACAACAGCAGGTGTAGCTGGCAGTGCCATCCTGTTCATGCTCTGCTGCAAGCATGACTACAAATGTAGGCAAATCTGGAAAGCATTTAACTTGCTCAACACCAGAATCTAAAAGGAACTTTGATGCATAAGAAAGGAATGTGGGCATGGAACAGCTTGGGAGCTGGGCCATTAGGGACTGGAGGAGAAAGGCTGGAGTTAAAGCTTCGCTTTTAGGAAGACAATCATTGGGTCAGGGGGCGTGTAGATCTTTCTACAGGAGGATTGAGGCCAGCTCTGCTAGAAGAGTGGATAGGCTGGGAACACTGAGGAACATTCAGCTGGAAGGGCATGTTGAGTTAAGGGTCTGCCTTCAGCTTCTAAGTTGACAGCTGCTGCAGATGTTTTTGAAGGGTTGTGGAAGAAGTAGCCTTCCGGGTACAAAGCAATGCATTTACTATATTATTGCCACGATCCCTAATTGACAGAGAAATCTCTGGGTAGTACAAACAAATTCTAGTGCTTTCTGACATGATTGCATTGTTCTGAGTGATAATTTTCCTGTTCTGCTCAGGGCAGTAGGCAGAGAGGGCAGGTTGACAACCTAGAGTACTGGAAGGGTCTGGGAGTGTGGGAGTGGGCGGCCTCTCTGAGGCTGCTTCTAATCATCCCTAGTCCCCAGGTGACCATTGGGATTGAATCTTTTGTTTCAGGTGTGTGGTCAAATTTTGAATCTCCAGGACCAAACAAAACAAAACAAAACAAAACAAAACAAAACAAAAAAAAAAACAGTTGTGAAGGATCTGGATTCTCGTCTGTAAGAGGAACAGTTCTTATTAATAAGAACCAGACTTTTACTCAGTTTTATTTTACTGGCACCAAGTCTTCAAATTACACATTTAGTATGAAAGACATTTAAGTCAGAATCGCAGAGGCCAGTTGGAGGAGCAGTCGCTTGCTAATACTGTAGGAGACAGGCTACTCATATAGTGGACAGTCTGAGGTCACATGTGCAGTGGACTCAAGTGCTGGCCCCAACTCCTGGCCAGCATTGGTCGGCCCTGTCCTCCGGGTCCCTGTCTCAGGTGTGGGGAGTGAAAGCCAGTCGCTGTGGAAGGGCCCAGAACTGCCTCCTCTGGCCTGGATTTCTGAGCCCTACTGGGCCGCGGGCCTACCTGCCACGGGAACAGAGGCCAGGAAGGGGGAATAAGATGCGCGTGGAACTCAGGCGGCTTCAGCAAAGGCTTCCCTCCCCCTTCCCTCCTCACCCGCCTGGGGAGCTTGCCCGCTCCCCCCCTCCTCCCCCAGGTCCTCCACCTCTTCCCCTGGAGACGAGGCTGAAAAATGAAAGGAGACAGCTCAGGGCCCCGGCCTCGGCGACAGGCTGCTGGTGCAGCTCGGGCGGGTCGCGCGTCGCCAGGGCGGGGACGCGGAGAGGAGCGCCCCCGCGGCCGGCAGCTGCGGGCGGCGCGGCGGGAACAAAGGCAGCACGTGTCTGGGCGGGGCGGCGGGGGACAGGGCTGCTCTAACCCTCCCACTGAGTC